CCCCATCCTCCTCACCATCCTCCCCACCATCCTTACCCCACCATCCTCACCACCATCCTCACCACCTCGTCACCATCAGCACCACATCCCCACTGCCGCCGTCACCATCAGCACCACATCCTCACCGCCGCCGTCACCATCAGCACCATCTCCATCACCACCCCGTCATCATAACCATCACTGCCATCACCATGATTACCTTCATGATAATCGTCACCGTCACCCTCACCACTGCTGCCATCTTACTGTCACCACCTCCACAACCACCCAGAGAGAGAGGTCTGTCTTGGGACTCTCTCCAGAGTTCCCAGAATCCCCCAGAAACACTGGTCTCACACGCCTTGCTTTTCACCAGAGGCTTGGCTTTCTTTGTTTGAGAGTATATTAAGCTCCCCAAGTCCTGGACAGAGTCACACATCTCCCCTCAGAGGTCTCTCCTCCTCCTCTGGGGTGGTGGTGGTGGGCACAGGCGTGCTGGGGGGCCAGGCCACCTCTGCCAGTCTCTTCACAGCCTCCCCCAGGTGCCCCAGGCCCTGGGCGGCCTCTGCCAACTGGGCCAGCCCCAGCTCCAGGGCTCGGCGCTCCTGACGGTCTTGTTCCAGGACCTGGGTCAGCCTCTGCAGCTGGTCACCCACGGCCCTCACAGCGTCCACCAGCTCCACCAAGGCAGGTGGCTCACAAGCCATGACTCTTACAGGTGGTGCTGGGGACAGGCATGGGCCCAGGGGACCTGGGATCTGGCCAGGGGCTGGGCCTGGGACAAGGGGATCAGGGGGTGGTTGGTCCAAGGGGCGAGCCCTGGGAGGCAGGTGGAGGTCAGGAGCTACTGTGGGGTCAGAGGCTGAGTGTGGGGTGTGGGCAGGTGGAGGGGTTAATCTGGGGGTCTGGCTTCTGGGTGGCTTGAAGCCCTCCGTGGATAGTGGGTCCACGCTGGGCGCTGGAGAGGCCCTAGAGCGGCTGGACCCGGGGGCTGGGGAGGGGTCCAGGCTTAGTACCTGGAGTGTGGGCGTGTGAGGGGTCCCCACCGAAGTCAGCTGGGGGTGCAAGCTGGGCTTGTCCTTTGGTGCCAGAGTGGGAGAAGGGAGTTCTGTCCCCAGGGAGGCTGGAAGGGACCTGGTGGAGAGGGCTGGAGTGGAGATGGGGTCAGGAGTCCTACTAGGGTGAATGGTGACAGCAGGCTCAGCTTTCACGGTAGGTGGAGAGGCCGTCGAGGGGGGAGGGGTCATGGTGAGGTCAAGGGTCATAGGAGGAGGAGGCACTGTGGTGGGGTGAAGGGAGGTAGTGGGGTGGGTGGTGGGGTGTGTGGTCCCAGTGGGGCCAGGGCTTGTGGAAGGGTCTGAGGATCCAGGAGGTTCTGGGGCTGTCTTGGGGTAAGAAGCTGTCTCCATGTTTGGGGCAGTGACAGATTCTGGGGTCAGCCCTGATGGCTGGGGGCCAGAGGTCGGCTCTTGGGGCGAGGTGGAGGACGGCATGGAGGAGAGCTCCGGGGTCACAGCGGGAACCACACTGGAGTCAGCGGTGGACGGAGCAAGGTCAGCTGTTGTCAAGGGGGGCAGGGTTGGGGTGGGTGGAGGAGTGTCAGCAGGGTCCGAGGTCACTTCCCATGGTGCAGCCCAGTCCAGGATGAGCGGACCCGAGGGCCCTGGCGAGGGGGAGGGCGCGTGGGATGGGGTGGGGGCCGCTGTGCGGGCTGCGGTGGGCTGCGACAGTCGGCGCCCCGACCACGGCGGCTTCCTCGGGGAACCTGGAGGAGGCGGGAGGGACACAGGTCCATCTGAGGTCAGTCTGCCCCGCCCACCCTGGGTCCCGCAGCTCTCCGGCCAACTGGAGGGCGGGGAGCTCACGACATCATGGGTCACCAGCAGACTTGCCCGGCCCTAGTGCCCCTCCTCCCTCCTCCTCCTCCGAGGCTCCAGACGCCACCTGGCGTCCTCTGTCCTCTGCCTGAGGCAGGAAGTCCCAGCCAGATGTGCTGAGCAGAGATGGGGCTGCGGAGGGTGCCGAGGAGGGTGCTGAGGAGGGGGCTGGCTGGGGAGGGGGCTGAGGAGGGGGCTGGCTGGGGAGGGTGCTGCGGAGGGGGCTGGCTGCGGAGGGTGCGGCCTGGGCACAGACACAGGGTGTGGCGCAGGGTGCCTGAGCAGGGAAGCAGGCTGGGAGATGGGAGAGGTGATCTCAGGAATCAAAATAAGTACTTCAAGGCAAAACTTTAAACAAAATCAATGTAGAAAACCCACAATGAGCTAAATAACAAAATTTTAAGGACAGGATCCAACAGGGCTGGGTTAAGGGGAGTGGAGCGAGGTGGGTAGGATCCTGTCTTTGGTTAATTCTGGTATTTACTTCATCGTGGGACTTTTTCGCATTAATTTTGATTTTTAGCGACACTGTAATAGGGTGGCATTATCTTGATTACTGTGGGCTTTGTGCCCCTTTCATTCTGTGCCCAATGGAGTGAGGGGCTGGCTGCCTCTGGCCTGGCTTCCCCTTCGTGAGAGCTCATCTCCTTCTCACAGAGGCGAGCAGAGAGGCAGAGCACAGGGAACCTGCCCCAGGCGACAGACACAGTGGGCAGGTTCCCAAGTCTAGGTTTCAGATCTCCCCTTCTCAGTGAGGGGCTGTTCCTCCAGCCAAGCGTCAGAATTCAGTGGCCACTAGCTGCTGGTGGCTGGCGAACACTTGAAATGTGACCAGCATGAATGAGGAACAGGGTGGGTCATTGTTCAAAATGTCACCTCACTTAAATTCCAACAGCTGCCGGTGCTGAACGGCCACGTGGAACAGCACCGCTCTGGAGATCCCACCAGGCCCGGGGTCTTGGAGGTGCACCCGCTCCCATGCCCTCTACTAGCGGGCTCCAGAAGCAGAGAAGCCAAGGGCTGGGCCTCTGCCAGGCTCTCTCCCCCGGCTGGGTGACATGGGCAAGTTCCTTCACTGCTTGAATCTCAGTGTGATCCCCACCCATAAACCAGAGGTGACCAAATCCCTGTAGAGCAGCCACAGGGACCCAGAGGGACAGTGGCTGCGTGAAGCACAGCACAAGTCCTGGCAGGGAACAAGCACTCAGGCTACTGAGGCTGTGTCACGGATGCCTGCCTCAATTCCCCGGGGTTTGGGGAGCGTCATGGGGACTGAGGGAATGACGCACAGGGTGCTCCAACAGCACTCGGCACGGGTGCACCACTCGTCGTTCTAAATGTTTTTAGTCATTATTTCAAGAATCTCGTCGTGGCTGTGTACTGTAGCCTCAGACCCTGGGAACGGTGGTGGTCTCAGCTTGTCAGAGCCCAGGTGCAGAGGACCGTGCTGTGTCATTCCTCCTGGCCCTTCTCCACCCCATCACCCTCTCCCACAGGTACTTCACCAATGCATTTGACACATGGCCTTAAATACGCCTGTGTCCTCCACAGCATGTTTTGTAAGTGTGTGAGTGTGTGTGTGTGTGTGTGTGTATTTTTGTGTTGTGCTTTTAACTTCTGCAAAAAACCATTCAGCTGAAAACTTCCTTCTCTTTCTGACTTCCACCTTGGTGTAGGCCAGGCCCCGCGGCGCCCAGCGGGCATGCTCCCATCCCCGGCCCACTACGTCGCTCACCCACCTGCACTCTCCTCCATGCCCTGTGAACCCCAGAGTTCCCGGACGTCCTCATGCCTGCCTCCCTTGGTAAGCCTGTATGAGAACTCCTCTGCGGAACGTCCTGGGAGTGGGATTCCTGGGTCCCCGTCCATGACCACTTCATTCCACTAAGTGCTCGAGACTGTTTCTGTCAAGTGGCTGCTCCCGGGGCTGCCCTGTTCCCAGGGCTGCCGCCCCACAGCCGGGCTCCCCGTGGGAGCACTTCTGCACACACCCAGCCGGGGCTTGCCTCTGCTTTCTCTGGGAGTTACTGGCACTCTCTCATTGGCCGCAGTGACTTGTGGAGTGTGGGCCATGCCTCCCCCTCAGCCCTGTTGGCATCCAGGTCTGCGTGGCTCTGGCTGAGGGACCGTCCTGTGCCTAACACCACCCCAGCCTCCACTCATGAGGGCTGGCTCCCCGCTCCGACGTTACCAAATGCACCTGTGGATGGCTCCCGGGGGCGCCCTGCTCTGCACAGTGCCCTGGGTCTCAGGATGCACTTCTGTTGGGTCTTCCTGGGGCAAGAGCTGGGCTGCCACTGCGGGGTCTGGAGCCTACCTCTACCCTCCCTGGGCACGTGCCTCACCTCTGTCCCCAGCGGCCCTTGGAGCTGGAGAGGGCTGGCCTGGGCTCTTGGTGGTGCCAGTGGTTAGGGTGGGTCCAGCTGTGGCTGCAGTGGGAGTCCCCTTGGCCAGGTCCCTTCTGGAAGGTGTGTCCCATGTCCAGGAAGATTTGTCACCATCCTGGTCACCTGGAGAGACAAGAGGAAGAAGGTTGGGTCTGACCTGGCTTTGTGCCCCAACTGGCCCAGCCCCATGCGGGCAGCACCAGGCCCCAGAGAGTCCATCACGCAGACTACTCCCCAGTCCTACAGCCACCCTGGTGGCCAAGTGGCACACTCCTGCTACAAGGAACAGAGCCTGTGGCAAAGGCAGCTCATAGAGCAAGAGCGCTGGTGGTTCCAGTTCCCCGAGTCCCGGCCGGCCTGTTTTCCTTTCCCTGGGGAACCAGTGACTGCCCACCGCCGACACCGTGCTCCCTGGGTCTCCTTCTTTTACCTTTTTTTTTTTTTTTTAATTTTTTAGTTGTAGATGGACACAATACTTTTATTTAATTTATTTTTATGTGGTGCAGAGGATCGAACCAGTGCCTCACCTGTGTTAGGCAAGCGCTCTGCCTCTGAGCCACGACCCCAGCCCTCCCTAGGTTTTCTGGCCAGATACACTTGGATAGTCTGTAGAACAACCTTATATAACAAGTTTATATAAGTTTATCATCAGCATAAAATTTCATTTAGGGGAGAGTAGAAAGATGATTCAGTCTTCTAACTTTGTTGATCCCTTTTCTTGGGACAGAACCCACCAACATGGCCACTGACTGACTGAAGCGTCAGAAAGGAAGAGCATGTCCCTCGCCTCCACAGAGCTCCCTGCCCACTGCTCTGACCACACCCAGACCGACTTCTGTGACCGTGTCCCCCAATTCTGACCTTAGAGGCCTCTTCACACATGGAGCCTGCCAGGCCCCTCCCGGGCTTACGCTTTCCCACGAGTCCCCACGGTCCACTGTGAAGTCCCCTGGGCATCAGTCCCCAGTCCCCCAGTGCTCTGCAGGAATCTGCTGCCTCCCCCGGAACTCCCTTCCGCCCACTTTCCAACGAGGGGCCTGCTAAGACCCTCTCCCCTCCACACTCAAAACCAGGCAGAAGGGCAGGGCCCAGGCCCCGGCACTGAGCCATGAGCACTCTGATCTCTGAGGCCAGCTGCCCCACCTGCACAGACCTCTGCTACACTGATGTGCTACGTGCCCAAGGAACAGGGTCCACTTCCACCCGAGGCCAGTGTCACGCTCGCCCAGCCATGTCTTCAGGTTGTTAATCACTTTCCCCCCTTTTTGGTACTGGGGATGGAGCCAGGGCCCCTCCCGTGCTAGGCAAGCGCTCCACCACTGAGCCCCAACCCAGCCCTTACAACTCCCTTTATAAATTTTGTTGAGACAGGGTCTCACTAAGTTGCCCAGGCTGGCAGCGAACTTGTGATCCTCCTGCCTGGGCTTCCTGAGTCACTGGGATTACAGCCACCGTATCTGCTCCATTCTTAATCGGCTACATTTCTCATCTTTCTTAACACCAAGGGCATGGCTCTGGAATCCTACCGGAAGGCACACTCCTAGGGAACTTGAAACCCATTAGCCGCGCTAGCGATTTAAGAAATGATGAAAGAAAAAGAGGGAAAACAGTCCATTTTCGAGAACTGTTAAAGATTTTCCGAGAGAGTGGACTTCCGGAGGACTCCGCTAGGAACACACTCCAAGCTGACCACCTGTTGGATGCGGCCCACCGACTGCAGACGTCCCCTGTGCACCCAGCGAGTGCTGAGAGGTCACTACATGCTCACTGTCCGTGGGTGTGGCTGGATTTCATTAAAATATACTTTTTAAGTGTTTTTTAAAAGAAGGACCAGTACACAGTTATGTCCCTCCCTTCTCCACAGGGAGCCACGGCTGGACGTGGCTGTCACTCTAACGCAGGTGCTCACACTGGCTTCCGTGCGGGACACTCCCAACACTGTGCCGCAGAGGGCGACGCTCCCGGTGTCAGAACAGCGCCTGCGTGTTCAGAGCCATGCACTCAGCACTTGGAACTTGTTTTCCTTCAACCTCGTGTTGACTGTGACTGCCCGCTGTGTCCCTAACTGGTTGGGTAAGCAAGTAACTTCTCTCTGACCCAGAGTCCTCATCTGTAAAATAGGTATCCTCAGGACGTCCACTTCATGGGGTCACAGAGCTGGGCACAGGATATGCTGCTCTTCACCCTGAAGTGATGTAACTCTGGTTCATTCTTTTTAAACCTGTGTAATATTCCACACTGAACCTACAACCAGTGACCTGCCCACCAGACAGATCTGCCCGGGACTCCTGCTAAAAGGAGCTGCCCAGGTGGCTGGGGAACCCTGCCTTGCCTCAGGCTTGGCCCTGACACAGGATTGCCCTGTGGGCAGCAGGGGCTTCCCCCGGGCATCACCAGGCTGCAGGGGGGTGCCAATCCTCGCTCCCACCTGTACCCCACATCCTTGGTACTGTCAGAGGGTTTGATTTTTGTTGGTCTTGTGCGGAGGGAGTGACTGGGAAGCTTCTGAATTGCCACAGATGACTCCACTGAAGCTCAGAGAGTTTGAGGAACATTACCACAGTCACACAGCTCAGTGCCATGTCAGGCTTCAGGCCCAGACGTCTCCCCTGTTCTGAATGGGTCCTCTTTCCCTCTGGGCACAGACCCCCAAGCCTCACCCCACTCCTGGTTTAGCTCAAAGACCTCCCCAATGCCTCCCTGGATGAGGTCTCCCCGCTCCATGCTCCCTGGACTCTTCAGGACTGATTCTGTCCTTACCAGTCTCCATGTTGTGGAGTAAACTCGAGTTTTTACCTAAGCCCTGCCTTTTGCTATTCTGACATCTCTCTACCCCAATCTCCTTATCTGCAAAACGGGGCCAAGGACAGTCGTTACCTCCTAACGCTGCACCAGGAGGAAGGAATTAAACCTGGTCGGCATCATGTACTCAGCACGACTGTTATGATGTGATCTAACACCTAAACTTGATCTTGCTTTTGATCTCGGATCCTCTTCTCTCTGCACGACCTCCTGCAGCAATGCCTTACGACAATATCTCAAATACAGGTCATCCCACCTCCCCAGTGGCAGGTGGCAGGGACGACCACACACACAGCCATGCACTGGCCTGGCCTCTTCTCAGTGCAGACGCTCCTCTGAGCTGCAGGACTGCAACACTGATGTCTCCTGACATTCCCACCCTGGCTGCTGGGCACCCGCCCCACATGGCGGGTGGGTCCCCCCACCTCCTTGCCTCCCCTAACCCCTGGCCTGGCCCGTCAGCTCAACCCCCAGATATGGCTTGAAGACATCCACATCTCTTCCCTGACACAAAGGGATCACCGCCACCTCTGGCTTGGACCTCCTAGGCTCCCCACCTGCTCCTTTCACCCGTAGCCCATTCCTCGAATCATCACTGTTTCCTGCCTTCTGCCAACCCACCCGGCACCCCGACCTGGCGGAGGAGGCTCCTCAAGCCAGCTGAGGAGCTTCCCTCGGGGCCTCTGCACACACTGGTCCCTCCCTGGAGCCCCTCACCTGGAGAGCTGCATGGCTTTCTCCCACTCTCCCTCAAGGTCTTTGTGCAAATGGCACCTTCCGAGGTATGTCTTGACTGCTCCGTTTCAAAGCACAACCTCAGGACCTCTCCAGCCTCTGCTGTGTTCCTCACCGCTGTGTTCCCAGGGATGGGTCCACAACCTGACACACAGCTGGCCTCTGACGAGAATTAATGTCTGCCTCCAAAAGCCATCAGCCAGGAAGCTCCAAGAAATGCGGCTCTGTGGAACTCCAGCTCCACAGCCTCCAGTGTCACCCCGCACACTCCTCCGGGCTTACACTGCAGACTCTCCTTCACTCACTCATTCAACATTAAGTAGAAAGTCTGAGTTCCAAGCCCCATCCTAGACCCAAACACGGAGGCAGAATGACGCCCCCACCTCCAAAAATACCATCCCCTAATCTACAAAACCTGTGAATATGGCAAAAGGGACTTTGTAAGGACCCCGACCTTGGGTGGGAGATGATTCTGGGCCCAAACTAATCATACAAATCCCTAAAATCAGGGAAGCTGTGAAGCCAGAGTGACAAGGCTGTAAAGACAGAGAGCCTCAGAGAGATGCCATATTACTGACTTTGAAGGTGGAGGAAGGGGCCGGAAGGCCAGGAGCTGCAAGGGGGGTGGGGTTCTCCCTTGGGGCTTCCTGGAGGCAGCAGCCCTGCAGGGATTCTGATCTTAGCCTGATTGCTGACCTACAAGACTGCAGAAAAATAAGTTCATGTTTTAAGTCATTAAATTCGTATTATGGCAGCAATAGAGATGGATACAGATCCTTTATAGTTTAAAATCTGGCTATGATTGACAGCCTCAATGCAAATATGGAGCAATGCAAATTTCTCCCCTCTGGCCTTTGCTCCTCTGAGAATTCCCTCCTGCTCTTTTCTGCTGGTGAAATAATACCACCACCTCCATGAAGTTTTCCTTGATTCTACTAAAAATAATCACTCCGTCCCTGGGATACTACAGTTGCTGGAAATTTCCAGTAAATAACTGTAACAACCATCGCTTTGTGGTTCGAAGCAATTTCACACACATTTTGCTCTTTGGATTGGGAACTGTTGTCTCCCATCAGTTCAGGTCCCCATGGAGCCTAGATTGGCAGCTGGTGGGGGAGACAGACGCCAGAACTCCAGCTTCTAACTAAGTAGCATAGATCCTCCCCAAGCCAAGGAGCAAGATGTGTCAAGTGTTTTTTAAAGCTGATTCCCATCAGGGCTTCTGCGTTAGAGATGAACTTCCGATCCTTTCTTTTCCCTATCCGAAACATGGGGTTAGCAACAGGCCTTACACCACCTGGTTGCTGGAATCGTGCCTGTCCAGCACAGAGACAGCGAGCTCTCGTTGAGGTTTTCCAACAACTCTGGAACCCAAGTTCCCACCGCCAGAGGAAGAAATGAGGGCTCAAAGAGAGGTCATTTTTACACTGCTACTGAAGATACGAATTCATGCCTGTCATTTCCTCCACGCCCCACCCCACCTCTCGGTCCCTCTCAGGTCTTATCAGGTCTGTACACGAGACTGTGTAGATTTCCCTTGCGCAGTTGGTAACTCTGCGTTTACTTGCGCTGCGGGGTCTAGCTGGGGAAGGCTGCCTCTGCAGGGCAGGTGTCCCGCAAGTGGCCGTCTCTGCCACGAGGGGGCGCTACAGGCCAGGGAGGCCGCACCAGGTTGCAGGGCACAGGGCGATGAAACCCTGGCCACACCTGAAGGAGGAGCAGCACTGCTGGCAGCTCCAGTTTCCGGCTTGGGAAGCGGGACGGGCAGTCCTACTCTCTGCCTGAGCCCCCCACCCGAGTCACAGCGCCCCCAGGGCCAGGTCCCTTCCTCTCTCCCTCTGGGGCAGGCTACAGGGTTCCAGGCACCTCCGGCGCTTCATGCCACCTCCACCGCCGTAGCAGTGGGCCATCCAGCCAATCAGGACGCGCAGCGCCCTGTGACGCCACGAGGCGCTGGGAACGCCTGCCCACCGCGTGCGCATGCGTGCTGGGCGCCGGGGAAAGGCGGGAAAGAACGCCAGCAGCCAGGCGCCCCGTGCTGGACCACAGGGGCGGGAAGCCGGCCGAGCGGGGCGGAGGAGGACAGCGGGAAGCGGCAGGGCGGAAGACGTGCCGGAGAAAGGAGAGCGCAGCGGGACGGCGGGAGGCGGGAAGGGGGCGGCGGGAGGAGGAGGGCGGCGTGGGGCGGCGGCCTCGGGGCGGGGCGGACGAGGACCCCACGGAGGCTCTGGGGCCTGCTGCCGTGGCCCTGCGGGTTCCCGGATCGATCGTGGCCTCGGGGCGTCGCCGCTAGCCGGCCCTGGAGGGGGCTCCCCTGGGCCCCGGGAGGCCTGGCCAGGGTCCCAGAGGCCCGGGCCAGCTCACTTGGGTCCTTCTGGAACCCGGCAGGGAGGGGAGCAGAGGTTTCCTGAGGCCCCTGGCCGCCCTGCCAGGCCTCACCTGTGTCTGGAAGTCGCCGGGTGGCTGGAGAGGGGCCCCAGGGACGCGTGCGTTCAGACCCCACTGCTGTAGTGGTCTCTGTGGCCAGGTCCTCTCCTGAAGTGGGGTCCCAGGTCCAGGGGGGATAGTCGTCATCGTCTGTGTAGCCTTGGGAGAAAGTGGGCAGCAGTTGACGCAGTTCCCTGTCGCCGAGGTCCTCGCCACTGCTTCCGGCTCCTCTGGAGTCTCCTGGAGCCTGTTGGTGCCCCAGCCCTGACCCCTCTGATCCAGGTCCTCTGATTGCACCCTGGTGCAGTCACCCTGCCCGCCCCCCAATGCCTTGGCCGCCTCCCCTTGGGAGACTGCACCTACCAGTGCAGGTGAGCCCCACGTCTTCTTCATGGTCACAGTTGTGCTTCCCCCACAGCCCCGAGGGGCAGTCACTTAGCGAAGTCTCCGTCCCTTTACAGCCCATGTCATCCAACCAGATGGGCCCAGTCCCAGGGCCATAGTGAGTTTTGCCCACTCGGGGCCGGACCTTTCCACAACCCAGTTCCCAGCAGGCCACAGTGCCATCCCTCAGGTCCCAGCTGTCATCACAGACTGTCCCCCAGCGTCCAGCATGCCATACTTCTAGCCGGCCAGCACACCTGTTGGGTCCATCAGCCAGACGAACCCGGAAGGGGCCTGTGGGTAGAAGGCCCTAGGGTCAGGAGGCAGGGGCAGCCCATCTGTGTTCCCCACTCCTTCCTCCACCACTCACCTGGTTCCCCGAGGGTGCTAGCAGTGGGGGAGGGGACTGAGTCCTTGGATGGCTCTGGAGATCCTTCTGGGATCTCAGCAGAGGTCTCTGGGGAGGCCTGGGGGATTTGCCCGGCAGTGGCCTCAGAGGTAGTGTCTCGAGGGCTTTGTGTGGACAGCATTGCCACAGTCTTTGAGGTCCTTTCCCTGGGCACCTGAGGAGTCAGCGCTGCAGTGGTATGTGAAGTCAGTCTGTGGGGATCCTCAGAGATCAGCCTTTTTGGCTCGGAAGTTCGTCTGGGGGAGGCCTCAGTGGTCAGGATTGTGGTCTGGGCGGTTAGTTCTCGGGGCGTTGGGGTGCTCAGACCCCTAGAGGGTTTAGTGCTTGTCATCCCAGAAGGTTGAGTGGTTGGTCTCTTTGGAATTTTGGTCACCCACTTCTTAGTACTTTTGGGCACTTTCCCTGGGGCCTTAGTGGTTTTCTCCGGCACACTGGAAGTCAGACTTGCAGAGGGCTTGGTTACAAGCTCTCCTGGGAGCCAGGCATCCTGACCTCTCCCCGGCCCAGGGAGCCAGCTCCAGCTGAAAGGATCTGAGATGGTGTCCAGGCCAGGGGTCCCTAGAAGGCAGGTGGAAAGGAAAGAGAAGATCGGAGACCATGAGGAGCATATCATCTGTTCAGGTCCCTCCTCTACCTGGTCACCTAGTTCCCATTTGTTCGTTCATTCTAGAGGTATGTATCGAGCACTTCCTGTGAGCCACACACTATGTCAGACCCTGGGGGTACTGTGGTGAGCCAACCCAATACCATCTCCTGCTTTCTTGGTGCTTACAGTCTGGATGCGATGAACCTCTCCACCCCTTATTCCTGTTCCAACCTCTCCAGCTCCTCAGCCTCTGCTCTGAATCAAGGCCTAGATTTCTGAGCCTTCGAGGGTTTTCTCTACCCCCCTGGCAATTCTTACCAACCACCAGGGTGGCATCAGGTCTGAGAGGCCACTCCCTGGCTTCAGATTCTTCTGTGGCTCCCATGCATTCAGGAAGAGAGTGGAGGAAAGGGCCCGAGTATCAGTGGAGTTGTGACTCCATTTTCTGGACATTACTACTCATCTCACATCTTTTTGATAGTGTATGTGTACAGTCAGCAATTAACTGCCTGAAGAAAGGCTTGGCCCTTTGCCCCTGGCTACTGGGAAAGGACTTCTAAACCCTAAAATCATCTTGCCCAATGGCCATGCTAGATGGTCTGTGCTGACCAAGTGATTTATGTACTGCCACATAAGCAAGACCAAGCTCTACAATACTAAGGATATCAAGGCTCAGAGTACGTCTCTGGTTGGCAGTCCTTCCTTTGTGCAGGGAGAGTTCAGCCTGTCCCCGAGCCCTGCACCACACACCTCTTTCCTTGACTTATTTAAATCCATGTCCTTTCACTGTGATGAGCCAGCACCCTGAGTATAAGCCTCTGATTTCTGTGAGTCCTACTGAAGTCCTGGAGCTAAGGATGGCCTTGGGGACCTCCCAACTATGTGTCACATGGGCTGGCAGTGGTTTGTTTGTGCATCTTTCGCTCTCTGGACTGTGAGCTTCTCAAAGACCAGGGCTGTGTCCACTCTGAGGACCCAGCACCTGGCTCAGTGAATGTGGTGAGCACAGCTGCATGCCTCGAGGTGAGTTGAAGCTGCCCTACTGTGGCTTCTTGCCCTCTCTCCATGCCTCTCTTTCCACTTCCTTTCATCTGAGGATAAAGCCCTTTTCTTTGTGGGGGGCTGTCTTTGATTTCTGGAACAAGGAAGAGGAAGACATCCCCTGGGTGGGAGTCCCAGCTTTGCCACTTGGTTGCTGTGTGACTTCTAGCAATTACTTAACCTCCCCATGCTCAGCTTCTTCCTCAGTGAAATGGGCACAACATCCCCTGGTCAGGGTGAGTCCACACTACAGTTCAAATGTGGTCACATGTAGGGAAACACGCAGCACAGGGCTGGGGCCTGGGACATGCTCGGTCAGTATCGGTGCCAGGGCAAGTTTCCATTTCCTCCTCCTGGAAGCCTCTTGGAGTCTGGGGGTGGCTATGGCATCCTTACCCGTGCAGGCGACCCCGACATCCTCATTGTGAGCGCAGTTGTGCTTCCCCCAGGGAGCAGCAGGGCAGTCAGACAGCGAACTCTCTGTCCCCGCACAGCTGACATCATCCAGCCAGATGGGGCCCGCACCCCAGCCAAAGCGGCCCCCAGCAGGGTCTGGCTGCCGAGGCCCCCCGCAGCCCAGCTCTCTGCAGACCACAGCTGAGTCTCGTGTGTCCCAGCTGTCGTCACACACCGTCCCCCAGCGCCCATCATGCCACACCTCCAGCCGGCCTGAGCACCTGCTGGGCCCAGCCACCAGCCGCAGCCCAGGGGACCCTGGCATAGAAGAAATGCAAAAACTTAGAGACAGGAAGCTGTCCAGTCCTCCACCTTGGCCTCCACGTGCCAGCCCCTCATTCACCCATCTCTCCTTCCAGATGGGGTGTTTATGGAGGCTCTTCTGCGTTGGCCACACGGCACAGGCAGGCACAGTTGGGTGGTCCCTCGGAAAACTAAAAGTAGAATTACCCTGTGATCCAGAAATTCCACTAGTAGGGATATACCCAAGGTCAGCTGAAGCAGGTATTCAAACAGGTATGCGAATGTCATGGCAGCACTATTCATAATAACCCAAAGGTGGGAATGACCCAAACGTCCCTCAGTATATGAATGGATACACAAAGTGATATTGGTCTTGGCAATGGCTTCATGGATCCAGCCCAAAAGCACAGCCAATAAAAACAAAAATAAGTGAGACTTCATTAAACTAAAATGCTTCTGTGCAACAAGGGAAATAATCAACAGGGTGAGAGGGCAGCCTCCATGAGGGGAGGAAATATTGGCAAACTGTCCATCTCATGAGGGGTTAATCTCCAAAACGTGGATATCCCAGCAACTCAAGTAAAACATCTCGTAACCTTACATAAAAGAGGCTAAGGACTAGACATTTCTCCAAACACAATAAATACGAAAAAAAGTTTGTCACTATCCATAAAGGAAATGCAAACTGAAAGTGAAATGGCTCACCACCTTACACCTGTTAGAATGGTTATTACCAAAGGGGGGAAAAAAATCAAAGGGCAACTAGTATTGGTGAGGATGTAGGGAAATTGGAACCAGCCAGGCACAATGGCACATGCCTGTTACCACAGTGACTTGGAGACTGAGAGGAGGATCAAGTTCAAGGCCAAATTCTGCAACTTAGACCTTGTCTCCAAAAAAATGAAAAAGGCTGGGGATATAGCTTAGTAGTAAAGCACCTCCAGGGTTCACGCTCCAATATGCCCCCACAAAAGAAACAAACTGGAACCTTGGTACACTTTGGTGGGAACTTCTATGGAAAACAGTATGGAGGTGCCTAGAAAATTAAAAGTAGAACTACTATATTAGCCAAATTATATTGTTGTATTGTCTACATGTATGAATATGGAACAATGAGCCTTACTATCATATAAATTATGATGCACCAATAAAAATATGGAAAAATAAGTAAAAATAGAACTTCCATATGATCCAGCAATCCCACTTCTGGGTATATATTCCCCCGAGTTGAAATAATTATCTCAAAGTGATATTAGCACTCTTAGGTTCAATACAGCACTATTCACAATAAATGAGATGTGGAAACAACCTAAGTGTCTATCAGCTGATGAATGGATAAAGAAGATGTGGTACATAATTATAACAATACCATTCAGCCCTTAAAAAGAAGGAAATCCTGTCATTTTTGACAATGTGGGTGAACCTTGAGGATATTGTATATGTGAAAATAAACCAGTCACAGAAAAATGAATGGTATGTGATTCTACTTATCAGAATCAAATTCATGGAGATGGAAAGTAGAATGGTGACTGCTAGTAGCTGGGCAGAGGGAAGGAGGTTAGAATTTCACAGTGACTCAATCTTCATTTGGAATAATGAAGAAGTCTGGGGATGGAGGGTGATGATAGTTGGTAACAGTATGAACAGTGGGTACCACCCACCTGTGTTCTTAGGAATGCCGGAGTGGTTGATCCTGTTAGGTGTACAGAGCTGCATTACTTAGCAGTGGGGTACATTCTGAGAAGTGTGTCATCAGGCAATGTCACAGAATGTACTTACACAAATTGAAATGGCCACAGCTTCACTAAGGGATAAAATCTCATGGGACCACTGCCGTATATTGGGGTCTGCTATTAACCACAATGTCACCATGTGGTGTATGACTATATACTATCAGAAGTAAAAAAAGAATACGGGCTCTGGACAAATCTCTGGGTCTTGGCTCTTGAACCTTTCCGCTGTGCTGCCTACTGGGGACAAGGGTTATAACCAGTTGGAAGCAACCCATGAGTTGTAGCACTGCCTGGATTGAGGCAGAGAACTTGGAACAGCCTCTGTAAATTTAAGCCAGTGAGTGCTCAATAAATGTTGGCTATTATTACAGAGGGTAAGGGAGATGAGGCCTCTGGTGCTCTGCCCGCGGTAACAGCCAGTCGCCACCTGTTCAGCCTCTCCCAGCCTTAAGAAAGCCCTATCAGTTGCACAGTTCTGAGTCTTTTGTGAACTAAAAGCAGGAGCTCTTCACTTGAGCCTGAAAATGCCCAGTGGTGAACTAAAAGGATGAAAACCCTGGTGTCTCTACCTGCGTTTTGTACCTGTCTCCGTTTTTTGGAATCACCTTGGATTCCAGGAATAACAGGTCTGATCAAAAGACATCTTGTGATGAGTCAAAACTACCCCTCAGGCAATAGCCACTTTCTTACCTTTCTAACAAGTCCCTCCTGTCCTGAGACCTGGTCACACTGACCACAGTCCAATAGAGGCTCTTGACTGCATGCTTGTGACCCACCTTGTGAATATGACTTGGAAGCTCATGTCAGTACCCTGAAGACAGGGCTAAAGACCCAGGTCCCCCGTCTTCCCGCTCAGCTATACTGACCAGAGCTCCTTGCCTGCTTTGCACCATTACTTCTGTTTGATTTTTTAGAGTGAGTGGCTTCATTTGACTTGTTAGGATCCAGTCACTGGATCACCTGCTTATTCCCACAGAATCCACAACAAAGTCCACTGCCCACATTCCTGCTTGCCCCTAACAGACCCTAACAGTGCCTCATCCCCCCTGAGTGTAACAGAGCCTGTTTCAAACCACAGCTGTCGCCGATACCGCCCTTTCAGTACTCATGGGAAGGACACGGACAGTCATTTACCCCGTGTTCTAAGAACCCGAGCAGCTCCCTGACAAGAAAGTCAAAGGACATTCCTGAGCAGGACTGTTACTTAGAGCTAAGCAGAGGGCCTGGTGACAGTCCCACAGCCACACCCTGTGGCATGAGAAGCCGGGAGCTTGACATAGTGAACTCTCAGGCCACCACCCTCTCTCCAGGGCCAGCTACAGCAGCCTGAGCCCTTATTCAAACATGGTCATGGATCTTAGGATGGTGTCAGCAGAGGTCCTGAGCAGGAGGACCCCAGGGCACTCCTCATGCTGGGGCAAGAAGGGACTCACCAGCTTCTGGCCCAGGCTCCCAGGGGGCAGTAGGAGAAGCTGGAGGAGGTGAACCGCTGGCTGTCCCTAGGGTCTGGCCCACCGTGGTGGAAAGTGGCCTGGTTGCCACCTCCCTGGGTGCTGAACTGTTGCTGTCCACAGCAGGGGCCGTGGCAGAGCCGAGGCCAAGGGGCATGCCTGAGGCAGAAGGAAGCCATTACCACCACTCCTGCCTGCTGAGCCTCCAGACGTCCCCACCCAAGCCTCCCGTCCCTGAGTCCCAGACCCGAGGAGAGAAGGTGTGGGTAAGAGTAAGGGAACAGAGGGCAGGAAGTGGAGATAGCCTGGTGGTGATGGGAAGAGGGAAGCTGCTTCTGGGGGGTGGGAGGCAGGGTGGCGAGGGCCGCCCAGGCTGAGGCTCAGCCTCCGCACTCCTGGCATTTGGGGATGATCATTCTCTCTGGGTTTGGGTTGAAGCGTCTGTTGCACTACAGGATGTTAAGCAGTGTCCGGCCTCTGTCCACCTCCAGTTGTGACTACCAGAACTGTCTCCAGACTGCCCAGAGCCCCCGACGGGAGCAAAGCAGCCCCCAGTTGAAAACCTGGCTGTGGAGTGGGCTAGAGGATTAGGGGGAAGTGGGAGGTTGGACAGAGTGACTGAACGCAGAGGGACAACTGCACCCCACTTCCTGCCCAGTGCCTGCCCTCCCCGGCCCCTCGAGCCCTGAGCCCTCACCATCACACACGGCCCCGGCGTCCTCCCGGTGGTGACAGTCATGCTGGCCCCAGGGCCTGGCGGGGCAGAACCTCAAGGCTGTCTCGTTTCCCCGACAGCGCAGGTCGTCCAGGGTGATGGGGCCAGTCCCCTCGCCAAAGAAGGCGCCCCCGGGGGCGGCCAGCGCCCCCCCACAGCCCAGCTCCCTGCAGGCCACGGCAGCATCCCGAAGGTCCCAGGCGTCATCACACACTGACCCCCAGCGCCCACCATGCCAGACCTCCAGGCGGCCAGCACAGCCGTGGGGGCCATCGGCCAGGCGCAGCCGGGGGGCGGGTCCTGGAGAGCAGGAAAGGAGGTCAAGGAGACAGGACGCTAGGGTGGACGAGGGACCACCAAGTTCTGATGGGAAACTCAGGGGCAAGGGAGGGCAGGAGGGAGGGCAGGAGGGCAGTCCTGCACAGCTCCTTGGTGTCCGCCTTCTCCGGGTTCTGTCACAGGTCCCAGAGGGGAGTGACCGCCAGGAGACAGCTGGACACTATGTTGGGTGGGGGTAGGGTGCTGCCCTGGCCCCTCAGCTGTCCCTCCCATTTCCCCAGGAGAGTGGCTGCAGTGCAGAGGGACAGACCTGGGGCCAGGTCTTGGCAGCTTCCTAGAAGCAGGCAGAGGGAGCTGGGCTCTGAGGAAGGGGAGGACAGAGGACAGCCCTAGCCCCAGCGTACCAGTGCAGACCAGACCAGCATCCTCACTGTGGTCACAGTTGCTCCGGCCCCAGGGGCTTCGGGGACAGTCCCGGAGGGCCTGCTCTCCTCCTCCACACCCCACATCGTCCATCCACACGGGCCCCGCACCAGGCCCAAATCTGGAGCCCCCGGGGGCGGCCAGCGCCCCCCCGCAGCCCAGCTCCCGGCAGGCCACAGCAGCATCCCGAAGGTCCCATCCATCGTCACACACGGTGCCCCAGCGCCCGCCATGCCAGACCTCCAGGCGGCCGGCACAGCCGTGGGGGCCTGAAACCAGGCGCAGCCGCTCTGGGTAAGGACAGACCAAGAGGGAGAGGGACAGTGAGGAGCTCCTCTGACTGCAGCCTGGGAGGAACAGATCCAAGCCCCCTCCTCGGTCAGCCGGGGGCACTGCAGCCCAGAAAGGCGTGGCCAGAGCGGGTGTCTCCGACAGGGGAGGGCAGGAGGAAAGGGGAGGCCAGGCCTGCGCAGGTGCAGTGAACGCGGGGGTCGGTGGGGGCCAGGGGCGGGGCTGGAGGGTCCTCAGTCTAGCCAGGTCTCAGAGCATCCGGATGTTGGGGGTCTGGAGGGGCTTACCTTGGCGTGGGGCTCCAGTCAGCAAAGGCGCCCGGGTGGACTTGGCTGGCTTGGGTGGCCGGAGGCTCTTCTTCCGGGGGCCATTCTGGGGGATCCCAGCTGGGCGAGGGACTAGGAGAGGACACAGGACGACAGGTGTTGAGCTGTCCATCCTTCCTGTCCCCAGGGGGCCAGGACTCCCTTCCCGAGGACCTAAAGTGACAAAGTGCTCCTGGGTTGTGCCAGGAGACCTTGTACTGGCTGAAATGGGAGCAGGGGCACAGGATGGGCACGCACCGCCTCAGCCTGGGGCTCACCCTGGGTCACAGGAGGCTCCTCAGTGCCGGGGCTCAGTCCCCCAGACAGTCCCGGCCACAGACCTCCATCTGGGGGGGAAGCGGAGTCGTCCCTGGAGGTCGCCACTCGCTGGCCTATGGGAGAGGACAGAAGCTGTGAAGGGGTGGGGGAGCAGAGGCCACTTGCCCCATGGGACAGGGCCACACGCCTTGGTGTCCTGGGGCTCAGAAGTAAGTGATCGTCAGCTGGGGGTCCCAGAAGGAAGGAGACACGTGGCGCTAGGGAGGTCACGTGGCGCTAGGGAGGCCAGGGGTCAGGTTCTGCAGCTCAGACATACGGGGGTGCAGGACTCGGGGCCCTGGGCCAACTCAAAAGAGCTGCCCCATAAGGGAAGAGGAAGAGCGGTTCCCTCACCTGCACAGACGACGCCGGCGTCCTCCTCGTGAGAACAGATGTGGGCCTTCCAGCCCCGGTGGGGGCAGAGGCCCAGCTGCCCCTCACTGCCCCGGCAGGCCAGCTCGCTGAGCCACACAGGCCCTGCGCCCTCCCCGAAGAAGGCGCCCCCGGGGGCGGCCAGCGCCCCCCCGCAGCCCAGCTCCCGGCAGGCCACAGCAGCATCCCGAAGGTCCCATCCATCGTCACACACGGTGCCCCAGCGCCCGCCATGCCAGACCTCCAGGCGGCCGGCACAGCCGTGGGGACCGTCAGCCAGGCGCAGCCGCTCTGGGGGGCAGAGGGAAGGCTGTGACTCCCACCAAGGAGGCCACAAGGCAGGACCAGAGTGAGGCAGGCCCCGGGGACTATCCCACAGGGCCCGTCAGGAGACCAGCTGCTGCCCGGGACCCTCCACGTGGACTCCAGGGTACTCAGACAAAGGCACCTGAGGTGCTGGTCCCTGGGGCCTGGTCAGTCAGAGTGCAGTGGGGGTGGCCAGGGACCCAGGAGGAGGGCGAGGCAGATGGGGAGGCTTCTCGATGGGCGAGGCCAGAGGCCAGACGGGAGGAGAGTTGGGAACTTACCAACAGCCTGGATCCCCACCAGTGCTGCTGCAGGGGATGGACAGAAGAGTGAGGGACAGGCCGGGCCCTTCCCCAGCCTACACACACCAAGACACACCCAGGCTTCTCACACCTCCGAACCAGACACCCTGCTGCTGGGAAGTGGACCCGGCAGAGGCTGGGACAAGACAAGAGGTCCCTGTGGCAGGTGGAGCCCCAGATGCCTGGCTCCTGAAGTCAGGGCTGGGACCAGGTCGAATGGCGAATGGCGGGTGATCCCCCACCAGGTCAGGGCCAGGGCATGGGGTGGGGGGCAGGTCCCTTGGGTTGCTGAGGGTGGGACAGGACATGCAGAGGGCTGGCTCCCTGGGGGGCTAGGCAGCCAGATGCCAGGGTAACCCAAAGCCCAGGACTGGGCGCTGGCCTTCTCAGTCCCTAATCTGGATGCGCTCAGGGGTCAGAGGTGGGCCCAGGCCCTGTGAGTCCCCCGGGAGAAGAGGTCACTCACCAAGGAGACAGGCCAAGACCTTCATGTTTGCAGAGTCCAGGGCAGGGGACGGGGTGAAGGGGAAGAGGGCAGGAGGGGAGGACGGGAGGAGGGGAGGTAGGGGCGCACAGAGGCTCCCTGGACCCGCAGAGGAGCGGGCGGGCTGCAGGCTTTGCCAGGAGCAGAGAGGCTGCAGGGAGGCGGCAGGGGACAGGAGGGGGAGGGGGCAGGCCCAGCTGAGGCGTGGGGAGAAGGGGGAGGCGGGCGGGAGGGGGAGAGCGTCCAACTGCAAACACCCACACGGAGGAGACCAGGCAGGCTCGCCAGCGCACCCTGTGCTGAGATGCTTAGGATTCGGCAGGCTCAGGGAAGGGACTGGACTCCGGTGTCTGGAAGACTGCAAGGGAGGGGGCACACCCTCCTGCCTCCTCTCTTGTCCAGCCATGGAAGTGTGGCTGTGAGTGGGCAGATCTAGGGCACTCCTGCAGCAGCAAGAGGGCTTGCAGCCAGACACCAGAAGGGACTTTCTGGATTAGGAAAAGAAACTGAAAAAACCCTCTTTTCATTTGACAGCCCCACTGGTGGACCTGAATGTAAAGCCCTCAGGCCCCATCTGAGGAGAGACTGAACTTCAGAGCCCCCAGAAAGAAGAGGTGGGGGGTTGGGCAGACAGGGCCAAGGCTTGGGGGAGGGGGAGGGAGCTACACACACACACACTCTCTCTCTCTCTCTCCCCACACACCAGGCAGCAGCGAGGGGAAAAAGTTGGTAATGGGGAGGTGACTCAGAAGCCTGGCAGGGCGGCTGCGTGAGCTCACTGCCCCCTTCCCCAGCCCAGCACCCCCCACTCCACCAACACACAGAGCAACTGGCGAGAGGAGGGGCCAGCCAGGCAGAAGGGCCAGCGGGTCCAGAGGCAGGCTGGAAAAGGCATCAGGACGAGGCCGCACACAGCAGTCTCAGGCTTTATTGACACACTGTAAGGACCAGACGAACGGACGGACGCACAGGAGCTGTGCCCACCAGCCCCTCCCGCTCCCAGGGAGGCCTTGGCCCAGGCACCCTGCCTCAAGTCCTAGCTCAGGCGAGCTGGCGGCTGCTCCGTCCCTCCCCAGAGCTCCCCCAGGGCCAGCAGCACAGACAGCACAGCTCTGCAGACAAAGCAGGGAGATTCTCAGTGCAGACAGAATCTGAGGCAGGGGCTTGACCTCTGATGGCCCTCGTAGCCAAAGGGGAGAGGAGTTTGTTCCACACTGGACACTGCAGGCTGGCGACAGGTGGAAGGGTGGTGTCTAGGTCTGCAGTCCTCGCTGGGGTCACCAGGGCATGGATGTGACAGTGCCCGGGCACAGCAGGAGCGTTGGGTGCTGGCGTCCCCCTGCCCCAGGTCTGCAGTCACAGGTCTTTGCTGAACTCCCTCACCAGTGTGTAGCCCATGCAGCCCCAGCCCCCCTCGGCCTGGTAGCCACAGCCCTCCAGCAGCCCCGCCACCCCCCAGGCAGCCACGGCCACGGGGACCACAAGCCGGGCCCGGGGCTCCCCCATGCCCCCTGCCCAGGCTCGAGCCCGGGACTCAGCAAAGGCTAGGAGCCTCCTACCCACTCCCCTGCGGCGGTGCCAGCGTGAGACAGAGAGGCGGGTGACCCGGGCTCCATCCCCCGCACTGGTGCCAGGGGCCAGGGCCAGGACTCCACACACATCGCCAGAGCCCCTCACGGCCACCCAGGGCCCCCCCAGGCCTCCAGGAGGAGGCAAGGAGCCCCACCAGGCTCGCAGGCCTAGCTTCACTGCGGCCACAGCCAGGAACACGGGCAGCAGGAGGGCCAGGGCGAAGGAGGCCAGGACGAAGCGCAGGCCGCTGCTGGCTGCCGCCAGGAGAAGAAGGGCCGGGGGCCGTGTCAAAGCATGGAGGGCCACACGGTTCTCCGTGTCCTTTACGCCAGCCTGTGGGTAGGGGTGGGGCTCAGCCATCCAGAACGTGAGCGCCCTCGGGACCAGGAAAGGAGGTGGACCTGTCCAGGGCCAGTGTGGGGGCTCCCTCCTGAGGAGGCAGGCAGCGGACGGGGTGGGCACAGTGGGTGTGAGTACAGGGTGACGGATGGGTGGATGGGGAAGGGTGATATGGAGCTGTGGGCACCGTCCAGCGGAGGTCCCAGAGCCAGGCTTCAGGGAAGCACTCTTGAAGGACAAGGAGGCCCGACAGGACAGAATGGGGAAACCGAGGCTACCGGCTCTGCTCAGGAGAGTCTGGGGTGGGAGGCAGGCAGGGAAGACTAGGAGTTGGTGCTGGGGTGCTGGACGCAGCACCGTGCCCCCTGGGACCCCCATCTGCTAAAAGCCGGGCAGCTGAGGCCAGATGGGGAGAAGGCACTGGAGGAAAGGGCACAAGCCGCTGAGGAGGAAAAGCCCCCGGCGGTGGCGTGGGTGGACAAGCCCGCCCCTGCCCGGCTCAGGCGTGGCGTGGGTGGACAAGGCCGCCCCTGCCCGCCTCACCTCTCTCACCTTGAGCATCTCCAGCACCAGGGCTTTCTCATCCTCCCTCATCTCCCGCACAGACAGGTGGCTGGGGGCCATGGCAGCCCCCAGGCCACCGCCCCCAAAAGGGAGCTGGCGTAGTTTGTGCACCTGCTGGAAACACAAGTAGGTCAGTATCAGGTGAGCGCCTCTGTCCCCAAAGCCTCCCGCGGGGCGAGCAGCAGCGGCAATTTCCAAATCGGGTACCGAGGACCCTCGGGGTCCCTGAGCGAAGGCCGTGTCAGGATAGGTCCACCCTACCCAGTGACCTTCCTAAAGTCTCCCTGATCCCCCTCCCCATGGTCAGCGATCCGCCCCTAAACAGGCTGTGGACGCGAACACCTTGCAGCACGGTCCCTCCTAGGCGCCGGGACTGCCCCGGGGGTCCACGAATACCCCGGGACCCACTAGAGGAGGGGCCGCGCTCCCCCCGCCCCGCCCCCGCGCCCCGCGCCGCGCCAGCGAGGATCGGCGAGCACCTCCTCGGGCGCTCCGATCCCTAGACAAGGTGCTGGGGGAGCAGGGTCAGGAGGGGGGTCGCCGGCGGAAGTGACGTCCACACTCGCGCTCGGCTGGGCGGGGCGGCGCCGGCTCCGGGCCTTAGCAACTGTTGCCAAGCGTCTCCGGGGTTGAAGGGGAGGCGGCGGGAACCGTGTGCGCTAGGGTGGGACCGGGGCAGGGAGCCGGACCGCTGGAGGTGGGTGGAGGCGACCTATAGTAGCCTGGAGAAGGAACAAGGGGGAAAAGGGACCTGGGGGCGAACGGGAGCAGAGGCCGGCAGGGAGGTGGTGGGAGTAGAGACGAGCGTCTGGGAGAAGTACTTACTGACCCCGAGCGTTCGCAGTTTCCTTCACGACGGTCCCTCGTTGCTAAGCGACCTAAGCGCGGGAGGAGACGGGGACCGCAACCGCGACGCCAGCGCATCGATTCCCATTGGTGCTGGGACCTTTTGCGGGTGGGGTCCGGAGCCCCCACCTCAATCCCTGGGGGCGCCCTGACAGTGCCCTTCGGGATAAAAGATCTACCCCCCACCCATTTTTCAGATGAGGAGAGGGGGCGAGTGACATCCAGCAAATAAGAGGCAGAACCGGTATTCCGATTCTAATGCCTCCCTGCTAGAGACCAACCATGGCATCACCACCAGCTCCCTTTTAATGAATAGGGAAAGAGCTCCATAAAGAACAGTGGCTGGTCCAAAGACGCAGAGCTCTTGAGAGCCAGGAAGCAGAAGACAAGACTCCAAGACCAGGCTGGGTGCAGTGGCAAACGCCTGTAATCCCAGCAGCTCGGGAGGCTGAGGCAGAAGGACTGACAGTTCAAAGCCAGCCTCAGCAATGGCGAGGTAATAAGCAACTCAGTGACTACAGTGGCTCTAAATAAAATATAAAATAGGGCTGGGGATGTGGCTCAGTGGTCGAGTGCCCCTGAGTTCAACCCCCCAGTTCCAAAAAAAAAAAAAAAAAAGATCCAAGACCCCAGATGGAGGCCATAGCCTGACTCCTCCCTGTCTCCTGCCCACCCCCCCAAGGGGAAAAAAAAAAACAGAGAGGAGATTCTGGGTCTTTATTAGCACGCCCAGCCTACAGCCCCCTTCTTCTGGGGCTAACCCCAGCTCAGCCAAGGACAATGAGTTAGGAGTCTCTGTGTGGGGTGGACAGAGGCGCCAGTCCTCAAAATGTGTGCACCAGCTGGACTGCTGGTAGGGTCTGCACAATTTGGATAGAGGGCAGGCCCTGTGAGGTCATGACCCCAGGCCCAGCCCCTGCGGGGACCACTTGCACCATCTGGGAGGTGGAAACAGCAGGCATCCCTGCCGGGGTAGAGACTGGGCCAGGTGGTGGGGGGGCCAGAAGTTGTAGTGTGGCAGCACCTCCCCCAACACTGCTGTTCTCCAGCAGTTCAGCCGCTGGGGCACTGCGGATGATAAGGAGTTTCTGCCCTGGAGGGCCAGGGGCAGGTGGCTCTGTCAGTCCAGGGGGAAGGGTCTCTACCTCCTGCACACAGAGCCGGGTCTGCTCCCCATCTGCTCCGCTCAGCACCAACACACTCTGCAACCCCTCATCCGTCTGCAGTGTCTCAAAGAGGACATCCTGGACCACACCCGTGCTAGCTTCACTATCCCCTGCCTCCCCAGGACCTGGCCCGGTTAGCAATTCCTCAGCTGCCCCACTCTGAACCACCAGCAGATTGGGGGCCTCAGCAGTCACAGCTCCTCCACTGGAATTAGAAAGCTGGCCTGCCAGGGGTTGGAGCTGGACCGTAGTCACTTCCTGTGCAGGCTGGAGCTGGACCGTGGTCACTTCCTGTGCGGGCTGGAGCTGGACCGTGGTCACTTCCTGTGCGGGCTGGAGCTGGACCCCACTCACTTCCTGGGGTCCTGCTTCCCCACCCCCTACATTCTGCAGAACAATGAGACTCTGCCCTCCCCCACTGGCCCCTGCTCCACTCCCTCCCTGCACCCCTAGACTCCCAGGGCCTGGCAGCCAGACTACCCCTGTCCCAGGGCTGGCTTTCCCTGCTGTGCGAGGGCACTGCCTTGCACGGCTGCCCCCACTCCCAGCACTGGAGGGCAGCAGGATGAGCTTAGGTGCAGGTGGGGGCGGAGGAGTAGGGGGCTGGACGCTGCTAGGGATCAGCTGGAGACCCTGGGCAGTCTGCACCAGGAGAAAAGTCTGGGAGTTGGGAGCCCCTGGGCCCGGGGGCGGGACCTGGGCTGTGCTCCCAGCCACTTCGAGGGAAAGCGTGGCTTGGAGGTGAGGGAGAACATGGACATCTTGGGTGGCTAGTGAGGCCGGGGCTGCAGCCAGTGGGGCCTGGGGCTGAGAGCTTGCGGCAGCGGAGGCTGTAGTGCCCGAAGCCGTGTTGGCTGGGGCATGCGTCCTCAGATGTCGCTGCAGATAGGCGGCCATGACAAAGCCGCGACCACAAATGGGGCAAGCAAAGGGGCGCTCGGCTGAGTGGGTGCGCTGGTGCAGCAGCAGGTTGGAAGAGTGGGTGAAGGTCTTGGGGCAGAGTGGGCAGCGGAAGGGCCGCTCGCCCGTGTGCACGCGCTGGTGCTGCCGCAGGTTGGAGGTCTGGGCGAAGCTCTTGCCGCACACGCTGCAGGTGTGGGGCCGCTCGCCAGTGTGCACATGTCGGTGGCGCCGCAGGCACGACGTATTGCGGAAGGCCTTTCCACACTCGCTGCAGGCGTAGGGCCGCTCGCCGGAGTGTAGCCGCAGGTGGTACTGGTAGTGAGATGACCACTTGAAGGTGAGGCCGCACTGGCCACAGGTGAAGGCCCGCAGGCCTGTGTGTACACGCTGGTGGATGGCCAGCAGCGAGGAGCGCTTGAAGGCCTTGCCACATTCACCGCACTGGTAGGGCCGCTCACCGGTGTGGTCCCGAAGGTGGTACCGCAGCCCTGAGGAGCCCTTGAAGGCCTTGCCGCACTCTGCACATTTATATGGCCGCTCTACAGAAGCCACAGCAGGCGGGGGAGGCGGCGGGGCAGGAGCAGCAGAGGCCATAGGCTCCTGGGGACAGGTGACCTCGGCAACCTCGGCCTGTGGGGGTGGGCGCCCAGCTGCAGCCTCTTCCACGTGGCATTGCTGGTGCGCCAAGAGGCTGGCCAGCTGCGGGAAAGCCCCGTCGCAGCTGCCGCAGCGGAAGGCCTGTCCCCCAGCTGCACCATGGCTGTGCTGGTGTCGGGAGAGGCCTGCCACCGTGCGGAAAGATTTTCCACAGGGAAGGCAGGCAAAGCCAGGAGCAGTGACAGGAGGGGGCTGCGGCAGAGGGGACGTCGGGGACAACGACGCAGGGGGTGCATCGTTGGGCGTCTCGGCAGGGGCATCCTGGGGCTGGGCAGCAGGCCCCGGGCACGGCTGGTGCTCCAGGAGCAGCTCCTCGCTGCCAAAGCCTTGCTCACAGCCATCGCAGCGGTACACCAGCTCCACCGTGGTCTCAGCTGC